TTCAAATGTCAGCAGAAGGGTTTGGCAAAGGGAAGGTAATCTCGGCTCAGCAGATGAAGGCCCTAAGTGACGCAATGCCACTGGCCCTTCTTCCAAGGGACAGCATTACCAAAACAGTAAGCTTCACTAGGAAGTTCAGGGTTACCCTTGGCAGTAAGGCAGAATAGAACGATTCCACGCTGGACCTACTGCTAAGGCACAGCACTATCAAGTGGTACACCGACAGCTCGAAAACGGCGGAGGGGATTGGTGCAGGGGTCGCAGGACCACGCACCAAGCTCTCCATTCTCATGGGAAGTTTTCCTAGCATATTCCAGGCAGAAGTATATGCTATAAGGCAGTGTGTAGAGATAAACCTCCAACGCGACTATCGCAATAAGAGCATCGCCATACTCAGCGATAGTCAGGCGGCACTTAAAGCGATCTCGGCTTTTGAGGTCAAATCGCTACTACTGCAGGAGTGTATAGAACGGCTGAACAGCCTATCAAGTCTCAATAGAGCGCACCTCATCTGGATGCCTGGTCACAGGGGTATAGCAGGAAGTGAACTTGCTGACGAGTTGGCCCGCTCTGCAGCCTCTACAAACATGGTAGGACCAGAACCGTGCGTAGCGGTTGGTCCACATACCATTGAAGAGCTGCTCCGTAAAGAGGAAAGAGCAGGCAGGGAGAGACATTGTCAACATCTCCAAGGCATGCGCCATGCCAAGTTGCTAATGGGGGGTTATAACCTCAGACGGTTTAAAACCGTAATCAATCTCCCGAGGAACAAATTTCGACTATGGGATCCATGTTTCCAAACAGGATTGCATCGCCTCACAAGCACCTAACAGTATATTGGAGTTCATCAATATGCTGGGGCTAGATGAGTCGCTGTGACTTAGGGGAGGGCACAATAGACCATAGGTCGCGGTGCATACCTCAATCATTATCTAATTTAATCTAATCTAAGATAAGCAGAAACGTTAATAGGTTAACCCCGCAGGGAGTGGTACTTTCCCCAATGCTCTGGATCTTTTTGGTAAACGATCTACTACGATGTGGTTCTTTTGGCTAATAGAAAATTCCTAAAAACCGTCTACGACCCAACCGAAGGGTACCTAAACGTGGTATCCAACTGGGGGAATAGTAGCGCCTTAGCCGTCATGCCGAGCAAAACCGAAATGATTTTATTTACTAGGAGGTATAAGATTCCAAACGTGCCTCTCCCCTCTTTCGGGGGTTCACGTCTTCAACCTGTTGATAAGGTGGAATACCTACAGCTTATCTTTACTAGAAAGCTTCATTGAGAGCCAAATATTAAGGAGAGAGTTAGGAAGACATCAGTTGAATTATATTGCTGCAGGGGAGCTGTAGGGAAAAGTTGGGAACTCTCACCTGGGGCTCTGGTTCTATGATACCGCAGTCAAGCCTAACCGAGAGTGGAACGCAAGAGGTCTGGTGAGCTTCTCGCGCTAAGCAAGATTCATCTCGCCGCTATTGTAGGAGTTCTCATTGGACACTTAAAATCTTAGCCGATGCTAGTTTTCAAAGTTTTATGGAGGAGGGTGAGGTGAAAACATCCAAGCAATTTCTCCTCCACTGTCCGGATTTTTCAAGTCTGAGACTCAAACATCTCGGTAATCATACATTCGGCGGACCAGAAGACTTAGCCGAAACGAATATTAGCCATCCCAAGAAATTTGTTAAAGGCTCAAAGCGCTTTGTCGATTTGCAAATCATAGTTCTTATGCGTGCTGAAAGAAGTTCGGTACTAAAGACCTATTGAAACCCGGTATTGGACCCCATTGCAAAAGGAGTTCCACGATCTCCTATATTCGTCAATACCATCAGATCATTGTATAAAAGAAATTGTGACTGTTACATTTGTTTAGTATTTTTTTCACAAGAAAATATCTCATTTGTAATTACAGCTTAGTGATCTGAGTTCTACGGAATTCTGCCGCTCAACAACAACTAAGTTACTTGAAAGATATGTGCAAAATGTGTTAATTATATTTATATGCATATATGTACATAATTTATTGAAAATAATTCACTTTCCGCTGACGGAGTTGTAATCTTCGCGTCAAAATAAGATGATTAAAAAAAATTTAATTTTTGGGGCCTCTTTCGTTGAGGGACCTTAACTATACATTTATTTTTTAGTGGATTTAACCTCAGCTAGCTCGGAAGGAGAAATTTTAACAGTAGCGAGTGAACAGAGCTAAGCATTCAATGAAAATTATGCTCAGGTACTTGCTTTGATATAACAGCTGCAGCTAGCATGATAGCTTTTTGGCTTATATTTTTATACGCTTATATGCAAACATATTTATTGATATGAATATCATTATGCGAATTTTTATGAATGCATGAAACACTGAAAAGACTAATTAAATTAAGGAATTTTCAAAATATTATATATAGTCAATTTGGGAATATAATGATTTTATTTAGTTTTTACATAATATACTTTCCTAATAAATATTTTACAATATTTTTTTATTTACAATATATGTTTTGTATATGCACATCTTTTATCATATTAATCTTATATAAGCTTGCATTTTTTTATAAGTACACACATATATGTATATGTGACATTGCCGAATGAATATGTCAGCCGATTCCCAAATTTATAGTATATCACACAACACAACATTTTCATTCATGAACGCAAGCGTACTTTCAAAAAGCAACCTCGTTTCATTCATAAAAACAGACACCCTCGCACCTCCCCGAGCATGCGTTTGCATACAAGCGTCTCTTCCCGACGATTACAATAGCGAAAAATCATAAATTGAACAAATTTCTGATTGAACAAATTATCTAGAAGGGAAAAGTTGCAACCCCGCAATATTTTAAAATAAAAGTGACAACATAGCATATTTATCGGATTACAATTCAAGAAACTTTTTAAAGAAAATATTCAATATTCCTCTGATTTATGTATACAGTAAGCCCCGGTTAAGTACCACTCCTCCAATCCCTCTTATCTGCCTGTGTCTTGCTGCATATCACGTGTTTTTTTTAGATACATAGAAATTATTTTTTTTTGGTACCACTCGCTTAAGTACCACAATTGCTAACGTACCACAAAGCACCAAAAATCTGCATCTGTCATTGGTTTTGACACTTAACCGAGATTGACTGTATATGTCAACGAATGTACGTATGGAGGTATGTAAATATTCGAATTTTTTGTACACACATCTGCCCGTATATTTGTACATGACTTGTTGACTTTGTTTCCATTTACGCATGCCACGTTGTATATGAATAGGGGTTTTGCACTTGCCATGTGCGATGTATGATTGTAAAAGTGTGTATGGTTCTGATTTCCCATTAAACAATGAGTGTACATATTTACATACATAGTTGCATGTAGACAAATTAGCAATTACTAGCATAAACAAAATACACTTTCATATTTGTTTACATGCACACATAATTATACATATACATACATATATTATATATGTATAATAATATTTGCGACCGCTTGGTCTTTTCTAATCGATTTATGTCAAGCAAGAGGTGTACAAAATCAAACCCAGAAATCTGACTAAATTGAAGCAGTCTATTAAATAGATAATTGAGGCAATTCCGACTTCATATATTTTCTAATAAGGTGTCGCATATGCGTGGCTGGGTATAGAGGTCAGTTTTGTAGCACGATTCGTGAGCTTTGTCGTTGCGTCAGTCCTTCCACAGATTGACTCTTTGACATAAAAGCAAAAAACGTGTCAACGGAGATTTCACATGAAGTAATGAGTGTACATATATACATATAAATACATACAAATGTGCAAACGAAATAATATATGTATGTCCTGTTGCACATTTGCCACGCCAGTCAAATTTCTATAGGAAAATCAACTGAAATTAATATTGAAATAAAATAGACTTTTGAGCAGCAATATATTTTTTAAATTTTTATTACAATAAAAATAATATAGAAAGAATACATGTTTTTATATACATAAATTTAGCTAATTTAAATTTATAAAAAATCTGGAATGAAAAATAAAAATAAAATTTTGTATATTAGAAAAATATATAAATTTATTAATAGTATATAATTTTAATAAAACACGTAAAATGTAAAATGGGCCAAAACGAAAAAGAAGTACATATTATATTCTCTTCAATATTCGTCGGTTGGTTATGTTAAGAGAGCGTTTATTTACAGATTCACCGCTGTTATAAAAGCGAGAAATGTTATTTGTTTCTCGTGCATGTGAGGTGAATTCCTTAATAAAAACCTACAAATTGTTGGCTGTCGAACCTGCACCTTCTCGTCTATTTATGTTCTCTGGGTGAGTAACCCTCCGTCAAGCGGACCATTTTGACAATCGGCACACCATGAACCTTCACTATGATATACGTTCTCTGGCAATACCATTTCGGTAATGACAAGGATGACATGATGCGAGACTCTCTCATTTTCGCTGATTTTTCTGTTATTCTCTTTCCCTGATTATTAAAATCAGGGAATTTCGAACAGCTGATGTCAAAAAAGGCGGGATGCCAGAAATAAACCCGCTAAAAATAGCTAACAAAAGCAGTGCGAAAAGAACGACACAAATACTTTTGAATAACGTGCAACTAAATTTTATTTGTTAATTTAATTTAAAACGTTCATTATAAAACCATGATATTTTATTATGACTTGTATTGTTTCTTTGTTATAATTTTTTTTATTTATATGCTAATTTTTTATGTTATATGCATTTTTAAAAATTTTATAATATAAATACAAGTATATAGGGATGTATATGCGTTATATAGGCCTACTTGGGGACGGAGCACCTAAAAATAATATCGAAATGCAAAATACCCCCAATTTTTTTTTATAATACCCAATCCATTTTCGTTCGACAGTGGCATGATTGGCAAATGTTATAAAAAATGTGGGTTTTGACAGCTCTCTCTCGATTCAAAGAGTCTCGCATCATTTCATCCTTGGTAATGATTTTGTCATGATAACAAATGCTCCCATACAACCTTTCCCAATTTCAAAGCAAACGATTTTGACAGTTGGGTGGCATTAGTTATTGCCTGTGGAGATGCGGCGTTATATGTGTCGATAAATATGATACTCTATAGGGAGTGGAGTTAAATAAGCTACCAACAGCTGGTTCCTCTATTTACTTATTTAGTTTACTTATTATAAATTATTGGATTTTGCTAAGAATTTAGAGAAAATTAATTCATGTAATATTTAAATTGCGGGGCTGAAGGTGTGGAAATCATTTGCTTTTACATGATTATTTTTATTATTAAGTGGAAATAATTTGCTTGTAAATGAATTATTTTACAATCTTAACATATATATATTTGTAGTTTTAACGAAGAGTGTTGTCAAAATGAGCAAATTAGCCTATACAACTGCTAATCTTTCTGATGTGCAGTTGAAGGAACAAGGAAATCAGTTGTTTGTGTTAAGAAAATTTGATGATGCTGTAAGCTGCTACACTAAGGCGATTGTAAGTTTCTTCGGGTGCGCTTTAGTTTAGCATCCCACGATTTCAGAGTTAAGAGGGGTATGGTTGGATAGAGGAGATTCTCCAGATCACGAATATATATAATTATTGCCGCCGGAAACTTACAGTTTTCGAGATATTTGCATTTTAAGTTGAAAATTTCACAAACTTCATTTTACAATTTCTCGATTTATGGTTATCTTTTCTTTTATATCATGCACTTATTATACACTAACTTTTCACTTCAATGTTTCTACATATTTATTTTATATTAAATATTTAAGTAATTTTTACACAATTTTCGTAATATGAACAATAACAAATGGGTTCCATGTTGTCAAATAATAAGTGCCATATCTATTATATATATATATATATATATATATATATTCAAAGTTTGACGCGATTAAATTATGAACACCCCGGTGCTGGACCGACTAGGGTTATTTTTTTGAAGAGCGGCCGAAGGCCGCCAGTGCGGAAAGAAGTTTGACGCGATTGAATTATTAACACCCCGCTGTTGGACCGACTAGGGTTATTTTTTTGAAGAGCGGCCGAAGGCCGCCAGTGCGGAAAGAAGTTTGACGCGATTGAATTATTAACAACCCGGTGTTGGACCGACCGGGATTATTTTTTTGAAGCGCGGTCGAAGGCCGCGGGTGCAAATAAAAAATCTTAACCAAAAAAAAGTAATGTTAAAGAGAATATATCACTCTCTATAAACTTCAATTTTTATTAAGGATAATTATAATAACAGTGAATATTTTGAAATTTTGATATATGAATACATATGGCGTAAAAATATAGTAAATCAGCATCATGATCCATTTGTGAAATTATCAGTTGCAATAAAACATACGTTTAAGCCATAAAACCTTTTTCTTTTATTAAAATGGAAAATTAAGTTCATAATATTTTGTAGAAACATTGTAGTGAAGTGCTAGTGTGTAATAAGTGCATAATATAAAAGAAAAGATAACCATAAATCGAGAAATTGTAAAATGAAAAGTGTGAAATTTGCAACTTAAAATGCAAATCTCTCGAAAACTATAAGTTTTCGGCGGCAATAATTATATATATTCGAGATCTGGAGCATCTTCTCTATTCAACCATACCCCTCTTAACCCTGAAATCGTGGGATGCTAAACTAAAGCTTTCCCGTTTCTTCATATTAGAGATCATTTAATAAATCACATTTTTTAGATGAAAAATCCAAATAATGCAACCTATTTCACCAATCGGTCCTTATGTTACCTAAAACTGAAAAGATGGGAGTTATCATGCCACGATTGTCGCCGGGCGTTAGATCTCGATTCTAATTTTCTTAAAGCTCACTTCTTCTTAGGGCAATGCTTAATAGAAATGGAGCTGTATGACGAGGCTATAAAACACTTACAAAGAGGTATGTAAATTCATGTATTAGAAGTAAATATATAGTTTAGTAAATATGTAGTTTAGTAAATATATATTTTAAATTTATAATATTTTTTAAATTTATAATATTTTTTAAATGGTCTTATTTTGACGCGTAGATTACAAATCCGTGGGCAAAAGTCCATTTTTTCAATAATTGTTTTTGTTTGAATTTTTTAAAAAAGAATTAAAAAAAATCAATAATCAATAATTCTTTTCTTTTTAATATTGAAAAAATTAAATTTTTATAAAAAATCAAAAAATTACCACACTTTGAAAATGTTATTTGGCGTGGTAACTCCTTTCTGGTCTGGCGGCCTTCGGCCGCACTTCAAAAAAGTAACCCTGGTTAGTGTAAAACCGGGCTGTTCATAATTCGTTCGCGTCGAACTCCATCTGCACAGGCGGCCTTCGGCCGCTCTTCAAGAATATAACCCTGGTCGATGTTGTTGTGGTTGTTTTTGTAATTCCCACAACAGACGGTTTTATCCGGCATCGAGTCCAACCCGGGCCCCTAGGAATTCTTCTGCTGCATTTGCGCTAAAAGGCTCCATCCAAACTTCACTTCGGCTAGGTGCAACACATGCAATGGATGGAGACCTGCTCAGGCCTTAAGACCCATAGGGAGTGGACCAGTAGTTACCTGGCCCCATGCTGCCAACGCCCTACTGCGACACCTGCCTCAACGGTTGTGCAACGTGCACCATGTTCGCGCACTGCCTCGCCATTTTAGTCGAATGGCCAAGAAAGGGCCACCACGGCCCCAATGAGCTCAGACAGGACATGACTCCCAGTCTGATCAACCTTCATCCCGCTCTAATCCTCGTGCGAGAACCACTCAACAACTCAGCGTCGTATGTTGCCCCGTGCTGTAGGAGTCTGTCCCCACAATCCCGTATAGTGCGACAGCCGCCCATGCGGATATTATAGCAGCAATCACCACCTACATGTACCTCCCTCACCCCCAGGATCACAACTGGACACCCGCGACAAACGCGCCTTTTACAATTTAACTGCAACGGACTCCAGGGTAAGATCGAGGAGATAGTTGCATTTATGAGCCGGGAACGCGTACCGATAGCTGCGGTCAAAAAAACCAAGTTAAACAGCCGCTTAGATCTTCTGAGTTGTGCAGGAGTTCTTCTGAGTTTTGCGTAAGGATCGCGAGCGAGATAATGGTGGAGGCCTAGCCTTGTTGTTGTTATAACGATTATCTAATCCCCGTTTGGGTGATAATTTCTAGATTCGTTGTCGTCGAGGTCATCTAACGGAAGGCCCAGGAAACGAGCTGTTTCGACGGGGTCGGACCATAGGGAAAGGGGTGTTAGATGAGTGGGGTTTGTAGGGCATGCAAAGAGGTGGTTAGTGTCATGCGGAGACTCATTGCATGCAGGACATGTGTTTAGTATGTCAGGGTCTATTCTGGATAGGTAGGAGTTTAACCTGCTACAGTATCCAGAACGAAGTTGCGCGAGGGTCACTCTAGATTCGCGAGGCAACTCGAGCTCTGTGTCTGCAATGGGTGGTGGTTTGACTCGTATTACGCCATTCACTGAAAGGGAGTCGGTGAAGGTGTTAATGGCTCCACTGTGAATCGCGGTCAGTGCTTGTCTGAAGTTAGTTGCGTCCGAAGTCTGGTCGACGTGCTGTCTGATGTCGTCGACGTAGTCAAGGAAGGACCTCTTGATGTTCCTAGGAGGCTGCTCCGCTGCAAGCAGGCGTCTGCAGGGGTGGTTTCTGCGAAAACATCCCAGCAGAAACTGCTTGGAGAGGAGCTCATTATGTTCCTTAACCGGAAGCATACGGGCCTCGCTATGTAGGTGTTCGATTGGGGACATCAAGAGGCACCCCGTGATAGTCCGGAGTGCAGTGTTCTGACAAGTCTGGAGCTTCTTATTCTGCGTGTCACTGCATCCAGGCGACCATATTGCGGCTGCATAATTGAGGACCGGCCGGCCGATTGCCTGGTATGTTGCCAACAACGTTTCTTTGTCCTTTCCCCATGAGCTGCCGGCAAGCGACTTGAGGATTTTGTTCCGGCTCTGTACTTTGGCAGTTATCGCGGTCGTGTGAGGAGTGAAAGAGCACAGACTGTCCAAAGTGACGCCTAAAATTTTAGGGTTATTTACTGTCGGAATTTTTGTGCCATCGACTGAAATGTTCAGGTCCAGTCTGTACTATTTCGTCCAATTGGTGAAGATGGTCGCTGTGGATTTAGTGGGGGAGAGTGTTAAGTTCCTTGCAGAAAAGAAGCGAGAAAGATCGGAGAGGTAGCCGTTTACTTTTGAACACATGCCATCGATTCCATTGCCCGACGTCAATATCGTACAGTCATCTGCGTACGAGGTCATTGCAATTCCCGCTGGTGGCTGGGGGAGTTTCGAAATGTAGAAATTAAACAGTAGCGGGGAGAGGACACCGCCCTGCGGAACCCCCTGTTTAATTTTCCTGAGTTTGGAGTTTTGACCACGAAATAGTACGGATGAGTGTCGACCGCTCAGGTAGTTCATGGTCCACCGCTTCAGCCCTGGAGGGAGCGTTGATTGTTCCAGGTCCTCAAGTAGCGTTGCGTGATTGACTGTGTCAAAAGCTTTCGACAAGTCCAACGCTACGAGGATCGTCCTCTCGCAGGGTGGCTTCTGGTTCAGGCCATGAACTATCTGAGCGTTTATGACGCTAAGTGCTGTGGTGGTACTGTGCACTTTACGGAAACCATGCTGATGGTCTGCTAGGCTCAGGTGGTGGGTGAATGACGGGAGTAACAAGGCCTCAAGTGTCTTCACTACTGGGGAAAGGAGAGCTATCGGGCGATAAGACTCCCCTTTGTTGGCGGGTTTCCCAGGTTTCAGCAGTGGGACCACTCTTCCGACTTTCCACACATCGGGTATTTGAAGAGTGGATATCGACAGGTTGAGGACCTTGGTGAGGTAGTTTACTCCCGTTGGGCCTAGATGTTTTAACATCAGCATGTTTATTCCGTCAGGGCCGATGGATTTAGACGATTTCGCCTTTTTGATGACACTCTGAACCTCCCCATCAGTGAAATTAAATGGCGCGCGGTCTTTTGGCATTTTGCGCAGCCGTCGGGTAACACATCGCTTGGTCTTGTCAGTCGAAGGGTGCAGTGTAAACTGCCAGCTAAAATAGCTCGCGCACTTCTTCGGGTCCGAGGAGGCATGGCCATCGAATTGGATTTCAACCCGATCGTCATGTTTCCTCGGATTTGACAGGGCCTTGACAGTAGTCCAAAGCTTACTCACACCGGTGGAGAGGTTACAGGACTTCAGGTGCTCTATCCATTTTGTCCGCTTATGTTGGTTTACCATTTGCCGATTCTCCAAATTGAGATCCCTTATTCGGGGATCACAGGGATCGGCATGGCGTAAGGTGTCGCGCTCGTTTGCTAATACAGCTGCTTCGGCTGGGAAATTAGGGCGGAGTTCCGCTATTCTTCCAGCCGGTATGAAGCGAGCTGTAGCAGCAGCGATCACCTTGCGGAATTGACGCTCGCCAACGATGACGTCCGTAGGAATGGATAGTGCGTTGAAGGTGCTCTTAGTAAATTCTGTGAAGCCGACCCAGTTAGCTTTGTTAAAGTTAACATAGGTGCGGTTATCCACAGAAATAAAGTCAGGAGGTTTCTCGATCGAGATAGTTATAGGCAGATGGTCTGATGCGAGAGTTAGCATAGGTCGCCAGGTTATACTATTTATCAGACCACCGCTAGCGATGGTAATATCTGGCGAGCTATTACAGGTGCCCATAATTCTGGTGGGGGCTTCGTCATTCATTGTGCAGAATGTCGAATCGTCTATCTGTTCCGCCAGCTCCATCCCCCTACGATCGTTTGACAGGCAGGAATGCCAAAGATCGTGATGCGCGGTAAAGTCGCCTAGCACCAGACGGTTTTCACCACGAAGTAGCGCATCTATATTCGGGTGATATCCTGTTGGGCAACATGTAACTGGGGGGATGTATATATTAAATATTTCGAGCTCGACATCGCCTGACCGGACAGCTATTCCCTGACATTCTAGGGTAGTGTCCCTGCGGTCGATGTCAACATCGATTAGACGATATTGCACGGTGTTGTGCAATATGAAGGCTAGGCCTCCACCATTATCCCGCTCGCGATCCTTACGTAAAACGTTGAAACCTGCACAACTCAGAAGATCTGAGCGGCTGTTTAACTTGGTTTCTTGGACCGCAGCTATCGTTACGCGCTCCCGGCTCATAAATGCAATCTCCTCGATCTTGCTCTGGAGTCCGTTGCAGTTAAATTGTAAGAGTCGCGTTTGTCGCGGGTGTCCAGTCGTGATGGGGCCTAGCCTTCATACTGCACGGTTCCGCAGGGCGGTGTCCTGTCCCCGCTACTGTTTAATTTCTACATCTCGAAATTTCCCCCAACCACCGGAGGTAATTTCCGCGACCTCGAACGCCGTTGACTGCTCGATATTGCCGTCAGGCAATGGAATCGATGGCATGTGCTCGAAAGTAAACGGCTATTTCTCCGACCTTTCTCGCTTCTCTGCAAGGAGTCTGACACTCTCCCCCACTAAAACCACAGCGACCATTTTTACAAACTGGATGAAGGAGTACAATCAAGACATTTCAGTCGATGGCACTAAAATTCCGACAGTCAACAACCTCAAAACTTTAGGCGTTACATTAGACAGTCTGTGCTCCTTCACTCCTCACTGCCAACGTACAGAGCCGCAACAAAATTCTCAAATCATCTGTCCTAAACTATGCTGCTTCCCTTTAAGAAACATAACGAGCTCCTTTCCAAACAGTTTTTGCGGGGATGTTTTCGTAGCAATCACCCCTACAGTCGTCTGCTTAAAGCGGACCCGCCTCTAATTAACATCAAGAGGTCCTTCCTTGATTACTTCGACGACATTAGACCGGACTTCGGACGCAACGAACTTAAGACAAGCACTGACCACCATTCACAGTGGAGCCATCAACACCTTCACCGACTTCCTCTCA